CCCCTTCTGCAAGATTTTTTGATCTTTGTTAGGAGCCAAAGGCACGGAAACTTTCCATTGACTCTGCGTTCTATGAGCTTGATAAAAGAGCGACCTCCAAACAAGATAGTGATTTCTCTCTTCTCTGGCACCATTACTGGCTTAAACAATGCTGAATGTTTTGTTTACCAAGTCCTTAGTTACAGCCGGGAGTTTACGTAGGATGTCTCATTTTGGAAACTGGTACACATTGTACAGGACCTAAAAGAGGAAAAAACATAGCACTCTGTTGGCTAGAGGCTACAGTTTATTAGAGAGGGGATTCCAAGGGTGTTAAAGGAGGAAAGAGATGATAACAAACTCCTTTCTCCTAATGGAAATAGATGAGCTGTTTTGACTTTGATAAGAGGAATTTTTTTTTTTTGCTTTACTTTGAATCAAGGGGAAAATGTGACATTGAGGTTGGTGGTTGTACTAATCAGTAGGAACCTCCAAGATTGTAGAGTCACATAAATTTCAGTTCCCCCAAGACACAGCTTAAATTTTTGCCCTCAGCCATGGCCTCTGAGATCCTGGTGAAACTGTAAAGCATCACCAGTAATTCACTCCCTGTGCCAACTTGGACTTTTTTGCAATTCAATTTAATTCAATCTCATGAACATTTATTAAGTGCTTGCTAAATGCCAGATACTATATGACAGGCTCTGGGGGCACAAAGATAAAAGCGAAACCATTCCTGCCTCTAGGGAGTTTACATTTTACTTGGGGGCTACAACACGTACTTAGATTAAGTAAAGACCTTTGTCACACCAGTACCGTTTTACTTCTCCTGGTTTTCACTTATAGTTTGGGGTCCCCAGAGGGTGGCTGCTGCTCCTCCTCAGGGTTCTAGTGGTAACACTATTTTTCTAGTATTGTTGCTACTAAGCCTCGCCAATATGTGCCCCATCAATAATCAGTCTTGATTAGATTTTATAAAAAGTATTAATTAAGCAGGCATAGAAAGTATAGTTGTTACAGGAAAATAACACTACTCCAGGGACACACTCTCCCCATGCACAAATAAGATCCATGGGAAGAACGGGCTAAAAACTTAGACAGCGTGTGGCCAAAGTAAGGAAATAAGCGTTTATTCAGTGGATGCTATGTGCCAGGAACTGTGCTAAGCACTTTACAAATAATATCTCATTTGATCTTCACAACAAACCTGAGAGGCAGGTGCTATGGTTATCCTCATTTTGTAATTGAGACAGGAAAGCAGATTTTAAGTGACTTGCCCAGGGTCATGCAGCTAATAAGTGTCTAAGGCTATATTCGAACTCAAGACCTAATGGTTTACCCATTGTACCACCTAGGTGCTTTAGTCAAGATGCTTTAGTTATTACCTATTGGCTCTAGGCAAACTACTTTGTTTGCCATTTAAAGCACTCCAAAACATCCAACTTACCTATCTACCTTTCTATTCTTATTTCATATTATTTCCTTTCACTCACTCTCTCTTCCACCAAACTGACCTACTAACTGTTTCCCATTCATACCATTCCATCTTCTTCACATGGTTTTGCACAAGCTGGTCCCCAGTTCCCTAATACTCTCCTTTATCATCTCTTTCTCTTGGAATCTAGGCACAGCTTAAGTGCCCCCTGCTACATGAGGCTTTCCTAATGACTCAATGTAAATTGCTTTCTCCTTGCCTAAAATACTTTGTATTTACTTCATATAGAATATATGCATATACATGTATATATATATCTATATTATATATATACATATAAATACATATATATATATATATATATTTACTTGTATACACATTGTCTCCCCTAGAAGAATGTAAGCTCTTTAAGGTCAAAGACTATAATTTTTGTTTTTGTATCTCCAATGACTAGCACAGTGTTTGATGCTGAAAAAAAATATTCTTAGAGTTGAGTTGAGCTGAATGGACAGTTTGAGAGTGTACTGTGACCTACTTATGTAAAAGACTTAGAAAAAGGTCCCTAACATACTGAAGGGTGGGTCTCCTCATGGATAATTAGTGGGAAGACCTAGATTAGAGATGCAGGAGAGGATAGGTTGTGAACTACACCATTAGGCGGAATAACCACATCAATGACATGTCAAATTGATTGATTTATTGACATATATAAAGTCTAGCCATTGTCATTGTGTTTCTTGACCTGGTTCTCCTTGCCTTACTTTGAATTATTTTATAAGTATTTCTATGTTTATTCATAACACACAGAGGGCCAGGGCAAGGCACACACATGTGGCTGTGTACAGGCTGTATTTACAAAGAAATGCAGGAGTGAAAGGTCTGAGATCAAGGAACTATAAGGTAAGAAGAGAAGATAGCCTGGGTCACAGGACAAGAGCAAGAGACGAGTAACCAGAGTACTCCATTGCTACTCTTGCAATGTCAAGAGAAAGCAATGAAAGCACCCAGTAAGGTGGGTAGACCTACTGTGGCAAACTTGTAAGAGGACATGGACAAGAATCGTCCAGGATGGGTAGGTATATTATCTACATTGGTGGAGGGAATTTTGGAATCCATGAGACTCAGAGCCAATTGAGAATTTGAATATATTCATCATTCTGCCATGCTTTTCTGTAGGATTACAGCACAAAAGACATAGAGCAAGGGGAAAATTGGAAAACTGGAAAGGGTACCTAATGGGATTCATCAGTGGGTCCAGGATGTTAAGTTGTCCTTCTGGGTTTGGAGGATGGGGAGGGCGAAAGGACAATAAAAAGCAGGGTATTAGTGGGTGTGCTGACTGATAGTCAGGCATGGGTATCAGTTGGCTCCTCTTTTTCCTATAGGCCAAGGCAGAGAGAGCCCTGGTGGAATCATTTAGGTGCCTTTATCTCTTTTTGTCTTACCAGGAAGCTCTCCACATTGCAAGCTTCTTTTTCCTTCTTTACCTCCAGAGGAATGGAAATTAGAATTTTTCCCCTCTCCTTCCTCAAGAAGCAATGTCTTCAGGTGCCCAGGTTTAGCAAACTGAATCCTCAGTTTTACCATACTCCTCACGCTGAGCTACTTGGGTTTCCTTCTTCCTCTTCGGGGATCATGAACTCCTTCCCATCACTATCCTTTCTTTGTTTTCCAAGTCACAATGAACGCAGTGCAGTGCAGAATATCTCATTAGCGAGGGTTTTGACATCCAATACCCTTGTGTCTTCATCCATCCTATATACCTACTTGAGGCCTGGAATTGGGCTCTAGCGTGAGAGTGCTGACTAGTCATGACCATTGCTTCATCCCTTCATCCCTTCATCCCACTCAAGTGTCAGAAGGTGTCAATACCCAAAGTGGGATGGGCTGCTTCAGGAAGTAGTGAGTCCTACACCATTGCAAGTCTTCAAGCTTTTAGAAGAAGTGAGGTAGCACTGTGACTCGACTAATGAATTTGGAGTCAGAAAGCCTGAATGAAAATCCTGCCTCAAACACTTACCAGCTGTGTGACCCTGGACAAGTCACTTAACTGCTGTTTGCCTCAGTTTCCTCATCTGTAAGAAGAGACAATTGGACTTGACCTCTGTGGTCTCTTCCAGCCTTATGACCCCAAGTTAGGCAACCATTTTATCCAGGAGGTTATAGATGGTGCAGATGGCTCTGTGAGGACCTTTCCTATGCGGAAATTTGGCAATTCTATGCTTCTGTGAGAAAAAGGTCCCAAATAAGGGAGAGAAGAGCTCTGGCCTTTCACAGGTTGGAACCATAGCCTCAGACTCTGGGGATTCCAGGTACTAGGTCAGAGTCTGGATGGTAATGACTTGCCCCTTAAGAGTAGGGACTGTCTTGTACTTTGCTTTTGTATGGACAGCCCCTTAGCACAGTGCCTGACCCCATTATTAAGCACACTTGGTGTTTCATCAATGCTTATGGGTTACCTAACTGTCCCAACAGGGGGGTCAGGAAGCTTGCCGTTTTGCAGATGAACCTCAGCTCTAGGAAGAAAGAGAAAGAACGGGGAGTGGGGCTCACCGGAGTGGGCTGTTTTATCGTCTTGATCCTACTTCTTCTATTAGAGACCTTTTCTGTTCTTATGTTACAATTATTCCTGAAAATGCTGTCCCCTTCAACTGCTCCCTCCATATGAAAACCTCCCTTGTAAGAGAGAAAACCAGTTAAGGAAAACCACTTGATAGCGTGATACTGTTTGATCACATACACGGCATTTTGCCCCAATAGTCCCTCACCTCTCCCATGAGGAGGGAGTTATGTTTCATTATCCATGCTCTGGATCCATGTGTTTCTAATGACCCGTGGAAAGGACTCTACAGCTCTAGGGCCAGACACTGCATCCACACCTGAACTTCCCCTTAGGCCCTCTGAGCTTGGTGGTCCCACAGCTAAGAATGTGGCTGGCTTTTGTTCGTACTCTTCTTGTGGCAGCTGGAGAGAGGCTATGCCACCTGAAAGAGGGAGCCATGTTAAGCATTTCAAAGTTACCGTCATTCTAAGAAGCTGTCACCCAGCAAGTAGGAAATGGCAAATTGGGGGACATGAGGAAGGGTGTGGCCCAGGGCATCCCAGGCAGGAATCCCCTGACCTAACAAACTTGGATTTTAGTAGTCTCTTCACTACCTGCTGTATCTTTCTTGAGTGACTGAAGATCATTCTTAGACTCATGACTGTGATTCCCCTCCCAGTGAGTTGATGGCCAAGCTAAGCAGAGCCCAACTGACCCATATTCTATAGAGCTTACCTGAATCATTTACCTGATAATCGTTTCATTAATATGTTCTTCCCCAGGCCCTGGGACAACCATGTGTGTTCCAGCAACATCTCTGACTCCATCACCGTTTTTCCATGCCCCAGGTTCGGAACTTCTTGTCTCTATGATTATTCATTCCCCAGGAAAGTCTTGTTTGGGCATGAGATTAGGAGGCAGCAGAAGCAAAGCAGAGGGGAAGGAGAGGAGTTGGGAAGTGGGTGAAGTTCCCTTATTGGGACTATCAGTAGGACTATGATGCTGAGCTTTCCTTCCAGGAAGGACTTACCCAGAGCAGCTGGGGAGCCCTTTGCATTCTCATTGGCTGCCCCAGGCTCAGAGCTGGGAGGTTTCTCTCCCTTCCTCTTCTGCAGCCAGCAACTTTAGCCTACAGACTCTCACCCTGAATCTCACAATCACGAGCCTGCCCTATGAAACGGAAATGGAGCACCAAACATCCAGCAGATTCAATTGCACAGAAAGGATGGGACAACCCCTGGTGAGATTTCCCAGCTCCTGCTCTATCTTCCACCTCAGTTTCCTGTTCCTGCAGCTCCAGCCCCTGCATTCACTCGTTTTCTCCCTTCTTTGTCAGCTTGGTCTATTGTATCGGAAAAGGAACCTTGGTTCCTTCTACTCTGGGTGTAAAGTTACCTGCTTAAGGTGAGACCCCAGAACCCCCCAGTTGGGCTTTATGGGCATCTCTCCCCTTCCCCTAGGGATACACTCCAGGCTTGGGTTGGACTTCAACCAAAGGTAGCTTTTCCATTTTTATTCCATTTTCTCTATTCTTAATTATTGACATCTCTCCTTAACCATGGATTCTTAGGAAAGTCACTCCTTCTATTAGGTGTAGATTAGAACAAATCCTCTAAGGTAAATTTTCAATCCAGTGGGGATCATTGGTTGACCAACACTGTCACCCATAGAAACAACTCCATCATCCAGGAATCACAACTACTTTCGCACAGGTTTATCAGACTCCTCAGTTTCTTTTTGCATCTGGGGTTCCTGTCACCCTTCTTAGTACAAGTGTCTATGTCACTATGAAAATGTCCCTTTCTAGACCCATGACGACTGGCCTGGCTACTGGAGTGGATGCCCCGTGCACACATCAGAGAGATCCTACCAGCCCTTTCCTGGACAGAGAGAGGGTTTACGGGGAGCTGGTCAACCAGACAAAGAATATCACCGAGCTGGCCCCCTACTCCCTTGATAGCGACAGTCTCTGCATTAATGGTGAGGAGTTTAACTGAAGCCCAGCCCATTTCCCTATTCCCATCCTAGCCCCACTTCCTCCTATGTCACCCTTCCACTCTGATTTAGATTTAACTTGCCGAGAACCATTATGTCTCAAAAATCCCTTATTACACCAACTACACAACACAGATCCTACACATACTATTTCTCTAGGGATTCTCTTCCTTGGGACTTTCTAGGTTAGTATGTCTTAGTGGCAGAAACAAAGACATCTTCAGTCCTGTTCTAATCAATGTTTTTAGCAATAATTTGCATGGAGACGTAGGTAGCTGCAATATATATGAAAGTCACAAAGTTCTGAGAGATAGTTAATGTGTTGGACAGCATTAGGTTCCAGTAAGAAACTTGCACATGAATAAAATAAGTTAAATATAACAAGATGATATTTAGAAAGAATACATTTGAGTTCACTTATGTTAAAATATAATTTTAATTGATCAATCAGCAAGCCTTTTAAAAATATCTGTGTGCCTGGTGCTACGCTAAGTCCTGGCGATTGAGACAGTCCGTGCCCTTAAGATGCTTACGTTGTATTGGAAGAGTACAATAAGTTCACAGGCAAATTTAGGACAGACACAAAATGATGAGCTGGCAACAAAAGCTAGTGAAGTCAGGAAAGGCCTTTAGGAGAAGGTAGCAAGCCCATGAGCCATGCTTTCAAGGGAAGTAGGTATTGCTAGGAGTAAAGGTGAGCAGAGCACATCCCAGGAACATAGGAACGTCATGTTCAGGGAACAGGAAGTCGGCCAATTTTTCTGGCCTGTTGAGAGCAAATTGAGAAGATATGGCAGTTTGTGTGGAGAAGACTTGGCTAAGCAATAGTTCATGTGTAAGACACTTTGGGTTTTCTAGTGGACTGGAAACCCCATGAGTCCACAGTGTGACTGGCAGCCCAGAAAACAAATGGGATTGCAAGCTGCATTGACAATCTTAGCAGAGCCTTGATTAAACTAGAGAGCATCCAGAGGAGGATCTATCAGTCAATCAATTGCTCAAGAAACATTCATTAATCACTTACTGTATGCCAGGAATTGTGCTAAGTGCTAGAGACACAAAGAAAGGCAAAAAAACCAAACCCTAGAACCTGACCTCCAGGAGCTCATAATTTAATGAGGAGGACAAGCAAACAAATAGGTTTGTATATACAGGATAAATGAGAAATACTTAACAGAGGTCTACCAAACTGAGATGGTCTACTTCAGGAAGTGAAGGATTCCCCTTCCCCGAAGAACTTCAAATAAATAACTACTAGCTCACCGTTTGTTGGGGACGTTGCAGAGGGGATTCCTGGTCAGTTATGGGTTGGACCAGGTCATCCGTGAGGTGCTACATTCTGTCAATCCTTCTTCTTGGGGTGTTGAATTTCTCCTCTGAGCCAGAAGACTGGGGAGAGCAGGGCAACCTGAAAGTTTGTTCTGCTCTGTGTTCAGATAGGGCAGAGTGGATCAAGGCTATGTCCTTCATTATATTTCTCATGTCAGAGAGCTGGCAGGTGCCCAGGAGAATTCTCTTGTCCCTTCCCTCAAAGAGCAGATCCCTCAGAGGCCACTAGCACTCTTTCTAACACATGCTGTAACCCTTCATGATCTAGAACCAGAGCCTTAAGCCTCCCAATGCTTCTTTCTGAGTTTGGATGGTAAGGACTCTCCTAGCTGTCCCCACAAGCAGGTCAGAGGGATTGGTACAACACAACTGATTTTAAACTCTGTGGCAGAGAATGGGCAGGAGTGAGAATGAACTCACATGATGGTTCCCTGGGGAGCCCTGATTTCAACTTGCCTGATTAATGGAGTCACCAAACCCTCAACGGGCACACTGAGGAGAGGTCCTGAAGCTCAGCCTAGTAGCAACTGCATGAGTACATTCTGTCAGCCACTCATTGAACAATTAGTAGAGGCACTGCTCTCATCTGGGACTTCTCAATGGAGATCTCTGGGCTGGTGTCTAATGAGCCCAACTTCACTGAGCTCTCTGCCTGAAGGCAGCTGTGGCCATGGTCCATCTCTAATGCATACCTCCTGTGTGGGAGAGGAGATTCCTGGTCAGAGGCAGGTTGGATTCACTGGCTTCTGAGGTCTCTTAAGCTCTTAGTCTATTATCCATGATTCCATGCTTCTATAATGGAACTGTTTTCTCGAGCTCCTAGACCAAACAACCAGCATGTCAGTGTGGACTGCAGGGACTGGAAGTTGGACAGATTGGGGATGCAACTGCTTCTGCCTCCTGTAGACCAAACAGTCTGGGGAGAGGCTTGCTGTTTGAAAGAGGGAACAATCCTGAACCTTCCATAATCCCTATCCTAAAATATAGTTACCTCCCAAACAGAGAGGAGACCTTGGGGTGTAGGGCTCGGTGTGTGTCACTGCAGATCACACATCACAAAGACCAGGGATAAGGGATAGAGAATAAATGTATTGTTTCATGGATAGAGGGAACTCCCAGATGAGGGAAGTGCCTCTACCAGTGCAAGTCAGCACATTCTCTGCAACTTACAGACTTAGAGAGTTACCTAGAGCAAGGAGAGTTTAAGTGATCTACCCAGAGTCACATAACCATTATGTGTCAGAGACAGGTCTTTAACTTGGCTCTTCCTGGCTCTGAGGCCAGTGATAAATAAAGTATACCTCTGTGAAGACCAGACAAGATTGAATTGCCTAACTCCTCCTTTACCAATTAGCCAGAGCAATCACTGTGGAAATTCGAAATAAGACACTTTTGAGTGTCCCCTTCAAAAGAATGGCCCAAGGCATCCCAGGCCTGCTGGGCTTTACCAACAGAATCAACCAATAAATCAACTACCAAGTACTTATTAAGCACCTTCTATGGCAGAGGTTCCCAAACTTATTGGACCTACCTCCCCCTTTAAAAACAATTACTTAATGCCTCTCTGGAAATCTACATTCTTTGACACTGTAATGTTTTTTTTTAATGTGTATCATTTCAAACAATATAAAATATATTGTTTAAAATGACGCATCTTAAATTTAATAATTTATTGTAAATTTGTGGGTTTTTTCCTGCATTGAAATTTTGATCATGCAATATTACATCATGTAACCCATATAGTACTGTATTGTAAACAAGTCATTAGGTGCACATATTTCTGCTGATGCATGTTAGACTTCCCAACAATGCACTATTGGATTCACTCACCTATGAACACTTGCTCGTTAAGACCTGTTGGCAGACTTGACCACGGATTGGTTATAACTTGCATTTTGTGTGTTAATTTGAAAGGTAATGTAATCATTACGACTTTAACCCTGTTTGTTACACAATAGATGAAACATGGATGAATGGTTTTTCAGAATATTTTTATCTTCTTTTCCTTATGCTTGCACTGCCCCCATATTTTTATTCAATGCCCCCCAATTGCATTCAAGGCTACCACTGCCCCCCCTGGATTGTTCCAGCACCCTCCAGGGGTGGTATTATCTACTTTGGGAACCTCTGCTTGGGATAGGCACTGTACTAGGTCCTGGGGATAAAAATATAGTGACTAAAACAACACCTGCTTGAAAAGAGTTTGCAGTTGAATGGGGGAGCTTACAGCACAAGCAGCCTCTACCTGTCAGTCCCTGTATCTTCCTCAGTCCCCATAGCTGAGGATTGAGAGTACCCACAAGGAGACTCAGCATCCAAGCCAAGAAGGGTTCTTCCCCCATAGCTCATGTTGAAGACAGTGATAAGTGGCGTTGCCAATGGTTTTCATTCACAATGATCTTTTCTCAGGTTCTGCAGTAACCACACTCATCCCAGCAACATCTCTGTCTCCCTCACCATTTGCCAGCACCACAGGTAAAAACCATCAGCACCTATGGCTATTTCTGGGATAGTACTAAATGTGAGACTAGAAGATGGGAAGTACAAAGCAAGGTGGCATTTAGGATTGGGAGATGTCCCATCAAATGGCCATCACTGGGACTCAGAATGCTGCATTTCTTTCCCAGGAAGGAGTAAGACACTAGTAGCTGGGTGTTGTTAGGTGTGCTGACCGATGTGCCCTAGTTTCAGGCGTGACGACTTGTCTCCTTCTCTTTCTACAGCCCATGGCCACAGCCTGGAGGCATTCACCTCGAATTTCACCATCAATAACCTGATCTACACTGCAGAAATGGAGCACCCAGACTCCAGTGCATTCACTACCACTGACAGGATCCTACGGCATCTGGTGAGATGACCCTCCCACCTGCCTCCTTTCCTGCCTGTGCCATTGCATTCTGCATACCTTTGATTCCAGCTACTGCCTTAGCCAGGAACTGATTCAGCTTCCCCTTCCTTTGCCAGCTTGGCCACTTATTCCAGAACAGCAGCATTGGCCCCTCCTATTCTGGATGCAAGCTGACGTTCCCGAGGTGAGAACCAGGAAAATTGACAGTTGAGCAATTGATTGAGAGTGAATCCTCCTGGCCTCCAGTATCAGAGATTTCCTAATGGGCTGTTTCTGAACCAGGGCTCAAAGGATACAAGCACAATAGCAGAACTCTCCACATACTGTCCTTCTACTATACCTTCTCCATGTTTAAATTCCCAAACTGCTTTATCTCCATTCATCTGGTCCATGGGTTCTCAGGAAAATAAATTTCCCTTGTAAGTCATAATTTAGGATAAAGGCCTATATATCAAGATAGTCCTTAGTGGGAAGTTTTGGTTCTTCAACAGTCTCATCCCAGAAGGTAAGTAGTATCCATCAGACACCCTAGAAGGTCTCTGTTAATCCTATCATGTCATGTGGCAGGCAGCCCTCTCATATCACTTTCATTGTCCCTCTATCGGAGCACTCCTCTGGCTAATCTCTCAGCACCAGTCACTAGAGCTTCCAATATTTCCCTCCCCAGACCTATGAAAGATGGATTAGCAACCAGAGTGGGGGCCTTGTGCACCTACCAGAAAGACCCTAACAGACCTGTCCTGGACAGAGAAAGGCTTTACGGGGACCTGAGGAACCAGACATATGGCATCTCCATGCTGGGCCCCTACTGCCTTGCTAAGGACAGTCTCTATCTCAATGGTAAGCAGCCTCACAGTGGCCACTGCATCGGCCCCCCTTTCTCTTCTGCTATAATCTCAGTATTAGCCTCTTTTCCTGTCTTTCTTATTTTCATTCAATCCCTAACCTACTCAGAACCATTTCTTCTCTATCCCTTGTTGAGATACTTGCATAAGATTAACTCTCTCCATAGCACTTAACTGGGGAAGTGGTTCCTAATGGGTCCTGGTTTGTTGTTACTTGTGGCAGCCTCACAGTCCTGGTCAATACTTTTATTTTTAAACATAAATTGGCATAATTATCTTTTGGTTTTATATCATCTACATTTCTTGATAAATCCTCTCACCTTCCAGAGAGCCATTTCTTACAACAAAGAATGGGAGGGGCAACAATTTAGCAAAACTAACCAAAATGACAAAAAGTTAGACATTATACATCGTGTTCCACATCCATAGCCTTCCACTTCTGTAAATAGATGGGTGAAAGTGCCTTTGCCTATCTATTCTTTGGGCCCAAGCTTGGTCATTACAATTTTGTGGCATTAAGCTTCAATATTTTGTTATGTTCAGGAGCTCTAGCATTGACTTTGATGGAAACCTTACTTTTTTTTTCAGAGTCCAGACTTGTGTTTTCCTCAGTAGAGAGGAACTCCCAATGAGTAAACTCTTTCTTTCCAGTGCAGATGGTCAACTCATGTGTAACCTAAAGTCTTATAGAATTGGCTGACGCATTCTGAGGTTGATACCCATAGTCATATAGCTAATGTATGTCAGAGTTCTGGACTTGAGTTCAGGTCTTCCTGACTCCATGTCTGACCCACTACCCACTACACCATGTGGACTCTCATAGCCTGAGACATAGTGTCAAATGTCGAAATGAATGAATCTGGAAAGGACAGCTTGCTAATGTATCAGACAGACCAGTGTCCAACAAAACCTCAGTCCACACAAATGATTGATAAGGACTAGCAAGGTAAACTTTATCAAAAATAAGCATAAAGTTCTTCAGTTAAGCTTAAGAAATCTAATCCCATAAATGCAAGATGGAGTAGACATGGCTAGACAAGTACTTCATGCAAAGAAGACCTGGGGGTCTTAGTGGACTGCAAGCTCAATTGGAGGAAGTCCTAAAACCATGTGAGATGTTAGGCTTCATGGAGATATATCATATCTAGAAGGAGGAATGTGATAGTTCTGCTGTCCCCTAATGTAACTGGCCCTCATCTGATATATTGTGTCCAGTTCTAGGGCCACATTTTGGAGCATTGACAAGATGAAGCATGCCCAAAAGCGGATGAATAAGATGAGGAGGGAACTTGATACCATGTCATAGGAAGATTGAGAAAACAGATTTTTCTAAGTATAAAGAAAGAATTTCCTAAAAAGCAAAGTATTATGATTGTTATTAATTTAATGTAGCCCTTTAAATGTGCAAAGTACTTTACAAGTGTTACCCATTTGATCCTCCAAACAACTCTGGGAAGACGGGTGTTACTATTATCATCCTCATTTTATAGTGGAGGTAGCTGATGTTCCAGGGTCCTGGCCAGGAGAGGGGGAGGTTGAGAGAGAGAGAGAAAGGGCTCCACTCCAGGCTTTCCTTGTCCTTGGTGTGCTGAATACTTATTAGAAGCCAAAAGACTGAGGAGGAAAGACTAGGGCCAAAGCAGGATGACCAATCAGAGTGTTTGCTCCCTGTTGTGTCTCCAAAGACCAAGGCATAGCAAGAGTGTGTTCATTGGAGCACCTAGGCTCAAGCCCCCGAGGGCTCCACCCCGAATTCCCTCTGCCAACCCACCCCAAGCTGTAAGTTTCCTTTTTCGGTCCCCGGGACTGGCCCTCATGTCAAAGAGCTGGGGGAGCATAGGGAAATTCCCCTCTCTTCCCCTTCAAGCAGCACATGTTCCAGGTGCCAGGAGGCCTCAGATTGAGTCATCTGGACTCAGCTGTTCTCCCCACTTTCAGCTTCTCTGATGATCTCTCTTCCTTCTCTGGTTGGGTAGTGTACTCCTTCCCTTCATTATCCAACACAATACTTTGTTTTCCATGTTATGATGAACACCTTCCAGTCTAACCCTCTCCCGCTAAGTATTTAAGCATTCGGATTCCCTTTGAGTTCTCGATTATATTGGAATCTTGAGTCTGGTTCCCCTGGATAAAGGTCCCATTATGCCTCTCTGAAATAGTTGTGACTTGTACTATAGTACTTGACTCTGTGGCCCACTGAGGCACCACAAGAAAGGTATTCCTGCAGTGGAATGGCTACATGTAGAAGTAGTGAGTTCCTCATCACTTGGAGATCTTCAAATGGATGCTCTGTGACCACTTGTCAGGGATGTTCTGTGGCATAGGTGCCCTCTGAGGGTGCCTTCAACTCTGAAGTCCAATGATTTTGGAAGGGAAAAGCCTAAGAGACCCAGAATCATCACCTCCTACTCCAGAATTCCTCTCCTTTAGGTTAGATAATGATTACTAGTGAAGCTGTCCAAATAGGGAGGTTGAGAAGACAAACAGGTTACAAATCTCTGGAAGAGAGTATTGAGGTGGGGGTCTCACTTCATAGGTTGCTATGAAGTACTGAATTCCCCCTTCCTCCTCCCAACGTAGGCATAAAAGATTCCCTGACAGTACACCTTATCTGATGATCATGTGACAGGATCCTATTTTAGGGCAGCCATCAGAGAAATTTGATTACATCCATTCAATCATCCATTGAGTACACACTTTAGGCACCACTTAGGTGTAGGGCCCTGGACTCATACACATGTGGCCACAATCAACATTCACATTCACATTCATTGTGCTTTCCTGTGTCCAACCATGGTTTCTCATGGCATTCCTTTCCGCAGCTCTAGGGTCAGGGACTGCATCCTCATCTGCAACCTCTCTGGAGCCCACAAAGCCTGGAGGCTCCTCAGGTAGGAATGGGGTGATTTCAGTGCCCTGGAGAGCTACCACGGGGCCATAACTACTTCCTGGAGAACACCTGTAATACCTAAAAAAGGGGAAAGTCTCAGGTCTTTCAAAACTTCTTCATTCTAAGAAATAGTCATTTGCCAGGGGGAGGAAAGTCAGGATGTGTGGCTTGGGTGTTTCATCTTGAATCCCAGGTGTCCCAGTGGCCAGAAAAGATTTTGATTTTTGGTGATTTAATAGGCAGAAAAATCTCTGGGAGGGCCAGGAATGAGTTTCACTTATCCCGTGTCAAAGCTGAAGATAATGAAGGACCAGGATATCCCATATAGGAAGCTTCCCCAATAGAGGTGCATCATTTAGATCGCTATTCTCTCTTATTGTGACTGAACCTCCCCCCTCATAGCTCAATCCTGATCTGGAGGGTGTAACATTTCAAGCTAAGCTCATTGAGCCATTTCCCCCTTTGAAGTTCATAGCCCATTCCTCTTATAACAGCACCCAGATAGAAGAGTTCAAAAATGGCCTCAGACACTTAGAGATGTTAGTTCCCCTATTTTGAGTTAGTATCCTGTACTCTGAAACTTGCTCTAGAAGATCATCTTCTTAACCAGCTACTCACTTCTCAAATCTTCCTCTCTCTTCCAAAATCTTTGCTTTAGAAGCAAAGTTTTTAAAGAGGAAAAAATCAATTCTGCAACATCATGTCTGACAGTACTTGCTACTCATAGTATCCCACTTCTACAAAGAGAGACAGATGGATTTTCTCAATTTCGCTAGGGCCATGCTTTGTTATTATAATTGGACAGTTAAAATATGTAAAGCCCTTTGCCAACCTTAAAGCACAGAATAAATGCTAGTCATGGGTATTATTCAGCTATGGGGTTTCTTTCCAGTTAGATTATCAATACATATTACATAGATGCATATATTATATGTAGTTTTCTGAGTTCTGTTAACTTCAATCTGCATCAGTTGATTTAAATCTTCCCCCATGCTTCTCACAATTCTTCCTGTTCATGGTCTCTTATGGTGCAGTAATATTCCATTATATTCATGTACCATAATTTAGCCATTTCCCAATCAATAGACATCTAACTCGTTTCCAGTTCTTTGCTACCACAAAAAGCGGTAGTTTAAATATTTTGGTACATAATGGGACCTTTTTTCATGTCTTCTAAAAATATTTCATTTTCTCAAATTACATGTAAAAATAATTTTTAACATAAAAAATTGAGTTCAAAATTCTCTCCCTCCCTCCTTCCTCTCATTGAGAAGGCAATCAATTTGATACAAGTTGTGCATGTACAGCCATAACAAAACGTATTTCCATATTAGTCATGTTGTAAACGAAAACAGATCATAAAACCCCCCAAGAAAAATAATGAAAGTAGAAAAAAAAATGTGCTTCAATCTGCATTCAGACTGCATCAGTTCTTTCTCTGGAGGTGGATAGCATTTTTCATCATAAGTCCTTTGGAGCTGTCTCAGAAACTTAGATCATTGTATTGCTGAGAATCATTAAGTCATTCACAGTTGAGCATTGTACAACACTGCTGTTACTGTGTACAATGTTCTCCTGGTTCTGCTCACTTCATTTTGCGTCAGATCATGTAAGTCTTTCCAGGTTTTTTCTGGAACCATTCTGCTTATCATTTCTTATGGCACAATAGTATTCTATCATACTTATATACCACAACTTTTTCAGCCATTCCCCAATTGATGGGGGAATTCCCTCAATTTCCAATTCTTTCTCACCATAAAAAAGAGGTGCTAGAAATAGCTGTAGACATACTTCTCTGCGTTCTTTTCCCTCTTCTTTGATCTCTTTGGGATACAGACCTAGTAGTGGTATTTCTGAATCAAAAGATATGCAGTTTCATATCCCTTTGGCATAATTACAAATTATTCTCCATAATGGTTGGACCAATTCACAACTCTGCCAACAGTACATTAGTGTACCTATTTTTCCTTATGTCCTCCAGCGTTTGTCATTTTTCTTTCTTTCATGTTAGCCAAACTGATGGATGTGAGGTGGTATCTCAGAAGTGTTTTAATTTGGATTTCGCTAATTATTACTGATTGAAAGCATTTTTTCAGGACTATTAATAGTTTTAATTTTTTCTTCTGAAAATTGCCCATCCATATGTATTGACCATGTATTAACTGGAAAATGGCTCTTATTTTTTTTTCTTTTGGTGAGGCAATTGGGGTGAAGTGACTTGCCCAGAGTCACACAGCTAGTGAATGTTATGTGTCTGAGGCTGGATTTGAACTTAGGTCCTCCTAACTCCAGGGCCAGTGCTCTCTGCTGTACCACCTAATTGCCTCCAGTGGCTCTTATTTTAATAAACAGTTCAATTCCCTCTATATTTGATAAATTTTTTTTAATCAGAGAAATTTGTGGTAAAATTTTTTCCTAGTTTCCTCCTTTCCTTCTAATTTTGGCTACATTGGGGTTTTTTGTGCAAAACCTTTTCAATTTAATATAATCAATATTATCTGTTTTGCCTCCCATCATCCTCTCTAATTCTTATTTGGTTATGAATTCTTCTTTCATTTATAGATCTAACAGATAATTTTTTCCATGATCCCCTAATTTACTTATGATATCCCTTCTATGTTTACATTATGTGCCCATTTTGACTTTATCTTGGTATACGGTGTGAGATGTTGGTCTATGCCTAGTTTCTGTCAGATTGCTTTTCAGTTTTCCCAGCAGTTTTTGTTGAATAATGAGTTCTTGCCCCAATAGCATGGATTTGGGGGTTTATCAAACACTAGGTTATGTTGGTCACTGTTGTGTATTGCCTGCCTAATCTATTCCATGGATCAATCACTCCATTTCTTAGCCACTACCAGATTGTTCTGATGAGATCTGGTACTGCTTTAACCTGTACTTTTGAGCAGAAATAGCTGTCAATTCGCCAAAACAAAATGATGAACATCATACGTTTTCCCTGCTTCTCCATTGTTGCGAGAAGCCAAGTCTTCAGTCCTTTGCCATTCATGCTAATTGCTCTTGCACACTTGTTGGGATGGCTGCCTGGGGGATTATTGCTCCAGCTCCAGATTGGACTAGAGAGGCCTCGAGACCCTTTGCACTTCAGGGAGTTCAAGAAGAGAAGATATGAAGGATTCTGGATCTAGCTCATCTTAACTTCGTTGTTGGTGTACCTAAGCCTACCTGTAGGCCAGGAGGCTGGGGAGGGGAATGTGGGGACTTCTAGGACAAACACTGAAAGGGTTTACCTTCCTCTGTTTCCACAGGAAAGGGAAAAGCAAACGTGAGTTGATTCAGATACCTCATCTCTATTTTCCCTACCCTGGATTCCCTCAAGCCACAAAATTACTTTTTTTCTACCAGGAATATTCAAGTCAGAGACTTAGGGGTGGACAGGAGACCTCCTTAAGCACATAGCCCTCTCCCCACAGGTGCTCAGGAAGAACAAACAGTTGTCCCTTTGAGCCTCATGGATGCTCTCTTCCTTTCCCTAATAAGATATAAGCTCCTTGAGGGCAGGAACTTTTAAATTGTGTCACTGTGGCCTCACTACCTAGCCCAGTGCAGTACATGGTGTAGATACGTGTTGAATGGATTTGAATTTTCTTCTTTTATCCTTTGCTTCCATGTTTCATGGTTCCTCTTTTGGTTTCCAAGTTACAACAAACGAAATCTGTCCCAACCGGGTACCAGTAAATGTTTTTATCAACCAAATCCCCTTTGAGTCCTGGGCCATCTGGGAAACCTTAACCACATGCACCTCTTGACAAATGGGCTTTGGCCCCAAGGAGATAGTGTGTATAGCAGCATCTTTTGCTTTAAAACATCCCTACAACTCACTCAAATATTATGAGAAATGTGTCCCCAAAGAAAAGCAGTCTGCCTCAGAATGTGGTCAGTTCCTTGTCACTGAATCTTATGAAAGAGGCAGGATGCCTTTTTTTCTCGGAGATACTTTAGATTCTGTGAGGAAGAAACCCAGATTTCTGGGTCCTTTCATCCCTTCCCAGTACAGATGCATGGCCATGGGTTTCTCGATTCCTCTATTAGAGGGCTCAGATTCTATGAGGAAGAAACCCCATACCACTGGGTCTTTCAATCCCTTCCCAATATTAGATGCATGGCCATTGGTTTCCTGATTCCCCTGTCAGAGGTTGGTTGCTGATTACTTTTCAAACTTACCCACAGAGAGGTCAGGGATAGGGATCAGGCGAACTTGAACTGTATGGAAAAGAGCAGTATGTGGTGGAAATTCACTTCATGTGATAGCCAGTAGTCCTGAATTCCATTTCCCTTATGAATGAAGTGACTGAGAATATACCTCAGCTGATGACCTTCAGCTGCAAGACACACACACACACATACACACACACACACACACACACACACACACACACACACCCCATTTATTCAGTCCTCCATTAAGCAAGCATTTATTTAGCACCATCTGTTTGTGACATCCTGTGCCATTGCCCGAATGACCTTAGTTTCATTCCTCTGTAACCACAGTCTAGGTCTATATCTAATGATGTGCTTTTCTGCAGCTCCTGGCCTAACTACCATAGCACCACCTGCAATCCCTCTGGGACCCACAGGACCTGGATACTGGACAGGTAAGAAAATGGAAGCTTCAGTACCCTGGAGAGTACTTGCCTAGTCCCGCCCTTATGCCAAGGAGAGTATATACTGTCTAAAAGAGAGACCAACCCTAGGTCTTTCCAAACGTCCATCATTCTTCTGCAAAGCCAGGGCAAGGAAATATAGGACTCGGTGTGTGATACCCATCTGGAGTCCCAGATCACAAAGGCCAGAAAAGAGTTAACTTTCAGGCTGTTGATGTCATACCTCACCAGAACAATCCTGTGGGAACTTGCTGTCTTGTTTCTCACTCAAAAGGCAAGGAAGATGAAAGCCAGTGGTACCCTGGGGACAAGGCCCTGGCCAGACAAACTTTGGCAATGAAGGCCAGAGCTAGAAACATCCCTGTCCCCCGTCATGAGGGACATCCCTATTCCCTGAGCCTTCCAAAGCTCAGACGGTCATTTTCTCCCTCTTTTCTTGCAGCCAGTGACCCCAGACTGCAACATTTTACTTTGAAGTTCACCATCACTAATCTACGGTACACTGCAGATATGGGACACCCAGGTTCTACCACATTTAACGACGCAGGAGGGGCCCTCCAGCGACTGGTGAGATTTTGTACTGCCTACTCCATACCTTCATACCTTAGGCATCCTTCATTTCTCTGAGTATTCTCTAATCATCTTCCTTTGTCAGCTGGGCCCCTTGTTCAGGAATAGCAGCATTGGCTTATATTACACTGGATGTGGACTGATCTCTCTGAGGTAAGGCCCTAGAGGTTGATAGTTGGGGATTTCTCTCCTGGGCCTTGGTCTCATACTAGACTTCCAATAAAAGGTACTTCCCTCTATGCTTCTACTTGGGCTCTAGTACCCTGACTGTCTAAATTCCCAAAGTGCTTTAATCCCCATCCACTGCTCCAGGTTTTCAGCAACATGATTTCCCTTCTAAGTCACTATGTAGAACGAGTTTCCTCTTGCCAAGATCGTTTTTCTCCATCGGGTACCTGTGGCAGTTCCACACACCTGCTCTTCCAGCTAGTGGAAGTTTGCCAGTCATCCAAATTACTGTCACTCATTCCAAGTTGCCTCGGGCACATCGGCCCATCTTCTCTAGTCTTGGTGACACAGTACCCCCAGGAAACATACAGTCATGCGTGCGATACAACTTCCCTTTCCCCAGAAGGTAGGATTCCTGTCAGCTTTCACAACACCCACGTCAGCACCATGTCACATTCAGTGTGTCTTTTGACAGACCTGAGAAGGACGGACTAGCAAGTAGAGTGGACGCTCTATGTGTCCGGCAGAAAGGCCCCACGAGCCCAGTGTTCGACAGAGGGAGGATTTACATGGAATTGAGCAGCCAGACTCATGGCCTCACTAAGCTGGGACCTTACACATTGGAAAAAGCCAGCCTCTGCCTCAAGGGTGAGCAGTCAGTCTGATTCCAGTGACAAAGTTTGGGTAATTTTCACTCAGTGTAAGTTTTTGGTTCTTGTCGCTTTGGAGTTTCTTCCCTTCCTCCAGCCCCCCCTTCCCCTGTGACCCCTTGTTATAGACTAGTGTCAGGATTGTTGCTTCAGGAGGGGCTCGGGCTAGATGACTCTGAGATTCTATGATGCTATCAGCTGGAGCATGAGTCACCAAGCTGCTGTTCCTGTCTACTGAAGTGAATCCAAGCTCTGATTAGGAGACACCCTCAGGCATATCTCCATTTCCTAACCCTGTAGCCAGAGGGAAATGTTCAAATCCAAATTTATCTAAATTTGGTTTAATTTTTAAAGATCCCTCTTTGCTGTGCAGATATTTGGGGATAATGGTTTTTCTTAAGCAAAAGTGTCCCCACTTCTCCAAGGCGAGGGAAACTGATGCTCCAAGCCCGGCTGGGGCTGCTGCTCCCCTAGACTTGTATCTCCCCTTCCCCCCAACAAACAAAAACACCTCCCCTCCCACATGCAATACTCGCTCTCTTGGAATCTGCTGAAGGATACTTGCTGGTAAGATGGGGAGGTGGGGAGTAGGTTATGATCAATATGAAGAACTCGGAGACACATGGAAAGATGTATAAAACAGATGTAGAGTGAAGTAAGCTGAGCTACAAAAGCAACATGGACAATGGCTGCAGCATTGTAAATAGAAAGCACAAAACCCCCCAAACTCAGCTCTGTCAAATCAGAATGATCAAGCCTTGGCCCAGAGAAGAGTTGAGATGGGGGAGTGCGAGTGGGCAACGTTGAATACGCTGTCAGATGAGGTCACAGTGTCAGTTGGTGTTGCTAAACTGATTTTAAAAAGTACTTTATTACAAAGGAGACTCTCAGGGTAAGGGAGGGGAAGGCTATATTCGGAAATGAATATAACATAAGAACAAAAAGGCATTAAGAAAACTTGAACAGACTTTTAAAACAAAACAATAAAAATAATGAGTGGGTGGGCAGGGCAGGCTCACTCCCATCCCCAGCGCTTCATCCCTGATGTTGATTTCCAACAAGGCTGGCTTAGGATCCACTCTTCAATCCCAGGTTGCCAGTGTATTTTTGTGGGGTCCCTATTACTGGCCACAACTTCCTGAAGAAAGCATGCCCAAAGAGAGAGTGCTAGATTTGGAATCAGAGGCCCCAAGTTCAAATCCTAACTCTGACACTGGGGGCATGATCTGGGAAAGTATTCATTGGCTGTAAAATGAGGTTTGACTAAAGCCCATTCCTGCTCTGAGTCTGATGACTGGTTCCTCCCTCTACTCTAACTCTAGGCTATTCATCCCAGAGTACCCCTGGAGAAGGGGAATACCAGGTTGACTTCAGGATTATCAACCACAACCTTAGCAACCCTGAGCCTACGTCCCCGGAGTACCAAGCACTGCAGAGAGACATCCAGGACAAGGTAGGTTGCTGTGACCACCCCCCCACCCCCCACCCCCCATCCAAATTTCTTATTGACTAATCTTTGGCTCTCATCACTTATGGATGTCTTAAGAGGAAAGAAAAGGAAGAGAAGAGGCCATATGTTAGCTCAGAGACAGGAGATGAATAAAATCCTTATGTGCAGATTTGCTCATGTTTCTCCTCTGCTTCAAACTCTGGTGGTTTCCCATTGAGTAAAGTTCAAGTGTTCTTGTACGGCATTAAAGGCCTTTCACAATAATCTAACACCACTCACCCTTTTCGGTGTTCTCTATTACTCACCACTAGTCACTCCACACTCCAGCCAAACTAGTTGACTCTCTGACTCACCCAAACGTGACATTTTCTCTCCCTCCTCTGTGCCTTGGTTTATGCTGATCCCTAGATCTAGCATGTCCTCGTGCCCCTTCTTCACTTGCTGAATTCCTGCCAGACTTGAAACTCCCCCTCAAATACCACATCCTCCAGGAAGCTTTCTCTGATTCCCCTCCCCTGGACCAACAGCCCCAGGTCATAACAACCATTCCCTTGGGTCTTCACACAGCACCTCTCCTACCATGTACTAGAGTATTAAGAATCCTCTGTGTCTCTGTCTCATTCTCTTACTAGACTGTGAACTCCATGATGCTTTTGTCTTATCCAAACTTTGTACTTTGTATTTCTAAGTACAGCCCTCTACAAGCTAGAGATAGTGAGTGTTTGTTGAATGGAGGACATATTTGGTCATTATACAAGGAGGTCTATGGCTGAGAAAATGATATCCAATGTTCCTTACTTCCATTACCTAGAAGAATGTCTCTTCATGCCTTACCCAAGACTTTTAGAGGCCATCACAAGCCTGCAACTCTTTAGCTGGGGCCGCAGCTCCATTGCTATTGGGCTTTCCTTTATGACTTCAGTGTATTTTCTGTGCTGTATTTGGCAGCAATCACAGCTGAGCTATCATTAGGAAACCCAGGAACCAAAGAGGAGAAGCATGGTGGAGAGCTTTTGGGTGAAGGCCAATGAAGACAGAAACAGAAATATCACAGCATGCTACTTGAGCAGAAAGAGAAAATAGACAGAGATTTAGAAGCGAATAGATTACGTCCCTGGTACAGACACATAATATAACGTAGGGACTTCAGTCATACAGATGTCCACTGGAGCTCTCTTTGTCCCTAGCATAACAGCTAATAACTTCTTTATTTGCCTTCATAGTCCTCTTATCTTTCAAAAGGTAGAAGAATCATTGAGAGGAATCTACTATTCTGTATGTTATGCTCACAAAGAAGGAGGAATTAGATGCTAGGATGGGAATGATGGCAACCTGGGGGAGAGGTAATCTTTCCATCTTAGGATTTGTGCTTGTGGAGAGAACTAGGAGTAGTGTGACATGCACCCTACCTTTAGGATAGCAGATTTCAAAGGGCTCAGAGGAAGGAAAGGTTGACTCTCATGGCCTAAAAATCTGGGGGTGGGGGGAGCCAGCTCAGGAGGAGTAGCAAGCTGTCAAGAATGAAATCTGAACAAACAATGATAAAGCACAAAATGGAAAGAACAATTCAGATACACAGGGATATACAACAACCAACTGGAATTTTTCAAGAAGAAATTTAGGGAAGATGGAAACATGGATAGGTAATGGAGGATGAATGCAAAAATAAAAAATCCCACAGTGTGATCTTATATGAATAGTGTCAGAGGTGCTAAATCTCTAAATGCATCAAGGCAAGCTAAGAGCAACAAGAAGAACTGGTAGATATTTTTGAGAAGAAGAGGAGGCTAAAGAAGGGAAAGGACCACTGTTTGGAGTGGATGAGACGAGCATAATATAGACAACAGAGAGACAGCATAGCACCTCAACTTTGGTTTTGTTCTGGATAGGACAGGACAAAATGGCTAAAAAGGAATTGGTAGCCAAGATAAGTAGGCAGAGAGTTCAAGAGTGATGACAGCATGTAAGGTGCTCTGTGCACCCCTGCCCCCGCCCTGGTAGTCTCCCCTCCCACCAGTGTCCCAGGGTTTCTGTGCTGCCCTCTTCACAGGACAGTATCACTCCCACCCCAAACGATACCTTTGATGCCACTTACTCTGAAAGGTTTGTGGCACTTTCTCCCACACTAACGTGCATTCCCAGCTATGGCTCTGCATGTCCAGTGGAGGTTCAGAGGATTCTTCTTCCTGCCCCGATTATTGTGTGGGCTTGTATGCCTCGGCCTCAGAAAGACCTGCTGTCAAATCCTGCCTCTGATACGTACTGACTCTGTGACCCCAGGAAAAGCACCTAACTTCTAGGGGCCCCAGCTAGTTCTCTAAGACAATTAGGTTACAGGGCAAGTGTGATCTGCATCGGTGGGAGGAAGAGAGGGAGCAGGAAGGGAAAGAGAGAGGGAGAAGAGAGATAGAGGATGGGGAGGGAGGAGAGACACATACAGCTGGGAGAGGGGAAAGACAGGGAAGAGAGAGAGAGGACAGAGAGAGACATAGAGAGAGAGAGGAAGAAGGAGGAGGACAGACAGAGGGAGGCAGAGACAGAGACAAAGGAAGAAGAAGGAGAAGGAGGAGGAGGAGGACAGAGACAGAGAGGGAGAGAGACAGAGAGAGAGAGAGAGAGAGAAGAGAAGAAGGAGAGAGAGGAGGAGGAGACAGAGACAGAGAGGAGAGAGAGGAGAGAGAGAGAGAGAGAGAGAGAGAGAGAGAAGAAGAAGAAGGAGAAGGAGGAGGAGGAGGACAGAGACAGAGAGGGAGAGAGAAGAGAGAGAGAGAGAGAGAGAGAGAGAGAGAGGAAGAAGAAGGAGAAGGAGGAGGAGGAGGAGGAGGAGGGCAGAGGTAGAGAGAGACAGAGAGTGAGCACCTGTGGGCCTATCCTGATAGCAGCTTTTTGAGCTCCCAGAATGGACCCCTCAGAGCTTCCCAAGCTTTCCTCAGGTGCCTGGGGGTGGGCAGAGGAACAGGGAAGGGGGCACACTCTGCTCTAGCATGCTGCTCTCCATTTCAGATGACACAGCTGTATGCAGGCAGCCAGCTCCAGGACAGATTCCCCTACTGCCTCATCACAGGCCTCAGGTAGGTGTGGCTCTGGCCAGGAAGGCCACGCCCCCCAACTATCCCTCCCCATCTCCCCCCTCCTCCACTGCCCTAATGCTGGTACTGAATGGATAATTGATTGCTCTTCCCTGGCCCCTGCCAACCCCAGCATTGGCTCCCTCTGGGCCAGCCTCCCTGCCGGCTTCTGACAGCACGGAGATCTATGATCTAAGACTCCTTGGGGACACTCAGGGCAAGGCTGGCTCTGGACAGGCCAGATTTATCTCCAGTGTCCTTGTGAAGAGACAAGAAAAGGGGCTGGGCACAGCCAGTCCTGCCTCGGGCTTTGTCCCTCCCAGTGGGGCCTCGTGGCAGGGCCCAAACGGATTGCAGAATCCAGTATCGGGATGAAGCGCAGAGGATGTCTAGTGCACCTTAGACCTGAACGAGGCTCCATAATACCACGTGGCTGACAAACGGTCATCGATCCCCTGCCTAAAGACCTCTAGCAAGAGAGAATTCATCTTTTCCCAAGGCTGCGCCTTCCACTTTGGGGCAACTCTATGTGTTTTTCCTTTCATTAAAATAAATTCGCCTCTTAGTAAGGTATAACCCTGGATGCCTGCAGTCCCACCTCCTCGTGGTCTTCCCCTTAATCTTCCCTCACCCCGGGGACTTCAATGTGCTCCGCCCCCTCCCTCCTCTAGGCCTCCCCAGGATGTTCAGCCTCCTTTGGGCTTTGTTCCCCACTCCTCTCTCTCCTCTCCCTCTCCAGCCCTTCCCCCCGCCATGTCCGAGCTTGGTATCCCCTCTTATCAGGGCTCGATTTTACTTTTGAATAGAAAAATACTGCCCCAGACAAGGGAGATGGAGGTCCCAAGTGGACCGCATCAGGAAGGTTGGGTCCAGTTATGGTCACCCCATGTCAGGAGGGACAGAGGAGGGTGACTAGGAAGGGGAAGGGACGCGGACCCTCATTGTATGAGGGTGAGCGAAAGCAATTCAACGGGTGCTTTCCCTCACAGACTCACAGGAGCATTGGGCGGTCCTCAGACAGAGGCTGGATGACCATTTGTCATGGATCTTGTTGAGGGGTACAACACTAGCTGGCCACTGAGTTCCCTCCCAATGCTGAGATGCTGTGATTCTGCAGCCTCAGGATACAGGTGAAAAACCTTGCGCTGCTGGGACACCCTCATGGGGCAGAGCAAGCAGACTTGCGCCATGGGATTCCAGGGTGGGGGGGAACGAGGGCGAGTGGGGGCAGTTGTACAGAAGATAGATTTCCACCTCACGTGAGAACATCCTTAAAATGATAGCTGCTGCTGTTTGAGCAGAGGAGAGAAAAAGCAACCTGCCAGGAACACTAGAGGAGAGTTCTTTCCCTGCCATTAGGTGGATGGTTCCCCAGTGCCCAGAAGACTACCTTGCACACAGTAGGTGTTGGGTAAATGCTAGTTGATTGATCAACTGATCTCGGAGGTTTTGCGGACTCCTCGCACCCTGCCTCCCTGGGCTACAGGCAGAAAACCTCCTCAACTCACCACAGGGCTGTTGACCAAGGCCACAGTGGGATGGGCAGCCAGGGTCCCATCTGTGCCAGGCCCCTGGCCAAATGCCCTGTAATCTTGGTCTATAGGTTGGGCTCTGTGTATGTCACCTGCAACTGCAGCTTCTCCTCCAACCTGGATCCTGACACCATCGGACAAGTGTTTCTGGACAGGACTCAGGATGCCACAGCCCACTGGCTCAGGGACTCCTATAAGCTGGATAACCTCCAAGTGACAAGTATGGGGGCCTGAATGGCTGAGGTGCAGGGGGAGAGGAAGCTGCAGTGGGGAGGGGAGATGGGAAGGGGGCTCATGGCAAGCAGAAGCAGAAGAAAGCACTTGGGAAGCTTGTACCCCAGGAAATGGGGGTGAAGTGAACACTTCTGGGATTGAAACAGTGTTGAGCTAGGAAGTTCCTTAGAATATAAGGCATAACATGACTGAAATAGGAACGTTCTTAGAACCTAAAAAAGTCAAAGCTGGGAGAGCCTTTAGAACCCAGGATGTCAGAGCTGGGAGGGCCCTTAGAACCCAGGATGTCAGAGCTGGGAGGGCTCTTAGAACCCAGGATGTCAGTTTGGAGGAGCCATACAGAATGTAGAAGGTTAGATTTGGGAAGGGCCTCAGATACTCCAACGCTGTCATTTTGCGATTGAGCAAACTGAGATCCAGTGAGCAGATGTGACTCTGTCCAAAGTCATCGAGAGTTTGTGTCAGATCTGGGAAAAAACCATTGGACTTCCAGACCACCCCGACAGTCCCCCAGCCCCAGACGAGGAGCTGGCCGTGGAGCCTGTTCAGGGCAGAACCTTCTCCTCTTTCCACATGCCTTCTGAGAGTCCCAGCAACGAAGTCTTCCCTGAAGCCAAAGTGGAGGCCCCAAAGGGCCAGAGAACACACATACCCTGTCCCCATCTGTCTTTCTCTCTGTTCCTCTGTGGATGTTCAAACTTCTTTCATTTACAAAACATTTATTTAGCATCTCAAATGAGGTAGTATTTCCACAGCATTAAGCACATAACAGGTGCTTAGTAAATGCTTGTTCCTTTCCTTTTCTTTCTTTTAAAAAATTCTTTTTGTTACATTTTAAGTTTGTAACTGTCTGTCTCCTTCCCTCCCCACCACCCACTAGAGAAAGACACAGATATATAGATATAAATATGCAAAACCATACTATGCATTCTTCTTTCCTCTCCTCTCTTCCCCTCTCCCCTCCTCTCTCTCCTCCTCTCTCTCCCTCTCTCTCCTCTCCCTCTCCTCTCTCTCCTCTCCTCTCCTCTTCTCCCTCCCTCCCTCCTCCCCTCCCCTTCTCTCCTCTCTTCACCTGGGATTTCATAGGCACAGAGAACTCCACTGAGGGAACTCCCTTTACTAGTGCATATTCATATATGCTTTAGCCTGGTAGAGAGTGACATTGAGAGGTAAAGGGACTTGCCCGGGGTCAACCAGAAGCGGCTGGATTGGAACCCAGGTCTTCCTGGCTCTGAAGCCAGCTTCAGAGTCTTCTTCACCCACATGGCCTCCCAAGGGGATAACAGAAAGCAGTGGTAAGAGGTGAGGCCAGGTTTGGGATTTCATGCATGAACAGAGCACTTGGCAGAAAAGCTTCCTCTGCCAATGCAGATTTTTCACCCTCTTGAGACTTATGTGATTTGGGGAGTTGCCTGGGGATAATACAGACTATTGCATTATAAATGCATGAGATACGGGCATAACAGAGAGCCCTGTGAGGTCCTAGGGGACTGTCTATTCCTGGCATGAGGAATTCAGGGAGCCTTCCCAGAGGAGGCAACATCGGAGCTGGGCTTCCCAACAGGTGCATTTTACACCTGGGAGCTAATCCTGTTGGGAATGTTTGGAGTTCACACAAATGCAGAAGGCGTCCTGGGAAAGGTCATCAGAAGGCTTACAAGAAAGGTCTCTAGATCTGATGAACAAACCCCACTGCACCTCATCTTTTCCACGTGTAAAATGAGGGGACCAAACTCTTAAGTGACCCTCTGTCTGTGGTTCTAACTCACCAGACTTTCCTGGGAGCAGTCGGCTGCTACCTGGCCTCCTGAAATGGACACTGGTGCCATCTATCTTAGAAGGTCAGGGTTTGAGCCAGAGAAAAGGGCCAGCCACCTTTCTGTCCCTGGGGGAAGGAAGGGGACTCTGGCCTGTATGACCTCTCTGTGGCCTCTCCCAGCTTGGGCCTCCATCACCATCATCATCATCATCATCAATCATCTTTTTCTTTGTTCTTTCCCCAGAACTGGAACCAGCCGCCCCACTGTCTACAGCTAAGCCACTGATTGACCCTAGGCCCCGACACTTCCAATTGAACTTCACCATCACCAGCGTGCTCTATTCCCTGGACTTGTCACGCCCTGACTCAGCCAAGTATCAAGGGAACCAAAATGGCATTGAAGATGCGGTAAGGTCTAGTCCCAAGAGCTGTAGGAAGGACCCAAGCAGGGATCTCCAAGCGTGCTCTTCCCTGACTGTCCCCCCAGAGCGTGGGGCTTTCACATCAGGCTTTCAGCAGAGTCCTGGATAACTTCCATCCACTCTGTTCCCTGGAGACTAAGTGGGAAGAAATTTCAGTTTAAAGACTCTCTTAAGAGGGTGGGGTCAGGAGAGCAACACACAGGGCCTGTGGGGATGGTGAGGTATGATGGGGGAGGGTTGTTTTGTTTTTGAAAACTAGGATTATTTATTTATTTTTACCGACCTATGATTTCATTGATAAAGAAATGTCCCAGTGAAGTGATTCCCTCTACCAAAGTGGACCAATACGTAAGCTGCAACTTATAGGGGGTTGCCTGTTCCGTGAAACGGCTAGGGGGGTCCAGGGGGTAGTGTGCTGAATTTGGAATCAGGAGGACTGGAGTTCAAATCCTGTCTAAGACATTTGCTTGTGACCCCCGGCAAGCCACTTAACCTCCTAGCCTCGGTTTCCTCATCCGTAAAATACGGGAGTTGGACTTCATATCCTTGAAGGTCCCTTCCAGCTCTACATTTAGGATACTATGATATGCCTAGCATCACATAACCAGCATGTCCCAGAAGGAACTCAAACCCAGGTCTTCCTTGAACCTAGGTATGCCACACTACCTCTAAGGGGGCAGGAGAAAAGACAGCAGAGAGGAGAGGAAAGGAAAGGAATAGATACAAAGGACAGCATAAAGAGAGTGAAGTGACTGGGGACACCATTAAGCCAGCCCCTTCAGATTACATGATATATAATTACAGATTACAGATGCTGCCTGAAAGGGGTTCAGATTTACTCTAGATCACCTGTTAATTTCTCAAATGCGTGATTTGAACCTGAAACAGGAAAGGAAGGCCCTTTCTAGAAAACTTTTAGACACTTGGGAAGGGGGAGGGAGGGGGGCTCTAGTGTACCTAGGATGGTCCCTGGTACCCAGAAAGGTGAGCTCAGTCCATCTCTTGCATTCATCTAGGTCCACCTGGGCTGCTATCTACCAGATGGAGATGCTAGCCCTGTAGCGTGACTTTTTTTTTTCTCAGAAAAGATTTTTAAGTATTTTTTTTCTGGGCACATGTGCCCTGAGGATCACATTCCAGGAAATGTTCCTTTTTCTTACAGCTGACCCAGCTCTTCAGAAACAGCAGTATCAAGAGCTATTTCTCTGACTGTCATGTGCAGACCTTTAGGTGAGGTTTTTCCCCAGGGACAACTCTGTCTAGGACTCCACTTCTCTGTCTAGCTTCTCACCCCCACAATTACAGGAAGCATCTCTTGGTGGAGACCAGTTCCCAGAACAGGCCATGTTCAGGACACAGTATCCCTTCTCTAAGCCCTTTCTCTGGTGTGCTCAGGAAGCTGGTGTTTCCTTCTTCTCTTTCCTTCCCTCCAAACTCCCTTCTTCCCTCTAAAAGCTGCCTCAAACCAGCACCCCGAGAAGGGTCCAGAGATACAGAAAACAGCACGTTACCAAACTGCCTGGGAGACCAAGCCGTCCTTTAATCAACCAATCAACAAGCATTTATAAATCTCCTACGATGTCCCAAGCATCGTTGTACAGAAATGTACAAATGAAGCCAGCTCTGCCCTCAAAGAGGTTACAGTCTAGGGAGACAACATGTACATGTATATACACACACGAGCAATCAGCCGCTCAGTAAGGATTTAAGTAGCATACTCCAAGTGTCAGGTATGGCACAAAGATAGAAAAAATCAAGCCATCTGTGTCCTCAAGGAGCTTACCATCCAGATCCATGTATTCACAAAACACTTAGAAGTAAGTCTAGTTTTGGTGGGGAGGTGCAGTGAGAGGAGGCCCCCCATCCAGGTTTTCCTGCCAGGGCCAGAAGCCTGCTCAGCCTGGCCCAGCTCAGCTCCCCTGAGGCCATCGCTGCTCCAGTCCTCTCCTCCCCACCTGCCTTCTTCGTCTCTCATTCACCGACATCCCTCCCTCTTCTTTAGGCTTGTCTCTCCCTTCTTTAGGCTTGCCTCTCCCAGACACCTCACAGGAGTGGACTGTTTATGTGACTTCACATCAGCCGCTCAGGCCCGGAACTTTGACAGGGCCGCTATGTACGAAGAGTTCCTCAGACTGACCCACAATGGCACTCGGCTACAGAACTTCACCCTGGATCAGAACAATATCCTGGTGGATGGTGAGGGACTCTCCAGTCTGGTCTCTCTGTCAGAACACTGACAGGCTGTGAGGAAGGATGAGGAATTCCTGGGATGCTTGACTCCTGACATCTCCAGCCCAAAAGACCCTCCCTCCACATTCCCTGATGCCTGTACTTCCTCCTCCCCCCTGACTGCTTCCCCCAATGGCCATCCCTGTCCCTTATAGTCGTCTGTCTCTATGATCCCCATATCCTTTCCTCCCTCCCTGACCCTTGGAGTCTCTTTGTCCCCCATGGCCTCTCCATCTCTTGTCCTCTCATCCTCTTCTTCCTCACCCAGTCTAGCTCCCCAGATCAAGACCCATAGGTTTCCTCCCCTTATTCCATATTTCTCTGTCCTCAGGCTATTCTACCAAGAAAATAGATGGAAACACTAAGAAAATTGGTGAGTACGGCAACAGCCTTGCCCCTTGACCGTTCCTACATGTCTGTGTTGGGGGGTGGGGAGCTGAGGCTGATCCTTGAAGAGTAGGAGAGTGGGGGCAGGGCAGGAACTGAGTGGCCAGGATGACTTTCCTCTCACCCTAGCCAGCACTCGATGCTGAGTGTCCAAGAGCACTGTCTTGGACTGTGTTCATCAGACAAATGAACAGCGGTCATCCCTGCCAATTGTCAGATCCCTGAGTGTATCTCCCCTTCCTGAGTCCCCTGGGGGGATGGACATGGGGAAGGTTCTGTGCCTGCACCTTAAGCCATTCTCTGTCATTGGGTAGGACTCAGTATCACTGTCACCTTTCTCAGTTCTGACATTGGGTCTCTGCACTATCACCCTCCCTTGTCCCAGGTTGACAATGGGGTCCCTGAACCATCTTTTCTGCCTTAAGTGACCTTCCCTCAGTTTGCCCAACTCCTTTTCTCTTATGTCCAGATCCCAGCTCCTTTCTCTAAATTCACTCCCATAGTCAGCCTGCCCCCTTTCTCCTAGGTCAGCTTCTTCTGAAGAGCAAATGTCTGGTGGCATGGGAGGTGGGAGGATGCTCTGGGTTGGGTCCTTCAGCCTCCATCCTCCATCTTCCCTGCGTATTGCTCTTTGTCCCCTCCCTTCCCACAGGGGTGGGAATGCCAAAGGACATTCACTCCCCGCCCTGTGCTGTCCCCTTATCCCTATGAAGGCTCCTCAGCATCACCTCTTCTTCCCCCCAGACCTGCCCTACCTGGCCATCATTCTTATCTGCTTGGCTATGCTCCTGGGGCTCATCCTTAGTATTATGTGCTGCTTCATGGTAAGAGAACTTGGGGAGCCCCTAAGGGCCACTAAGGGCTCTCTGTGTGCATGTATATGTGTCTGTGTGTGTGTGTGTGTGTGTGTGTGTGTGTGTGTGAGAGAGAGAGAGAGAGAGAGAGAGAGAGAGAGAGAGGAGAGAGAGAGAGAGAGAGAGGGCAGGGGTAGAAGGAGGGAAGCAGAGAGAGACAGAGAGAGAATGAGTATCCCTATGAGGGGAAGTCTTGATGGTGGCACAGTAGGAAGATCACCATAATCACTATATTGGGAGCCAGAGGACCGGGGTTCAAATCGTATCATATATGAGACTGTCATCGAGCCACCTCTATGGGCTTCAGTTTCCTCATCTATAAAATGAGGGTATTGGATTAGATGGCCTCCAATATCCCTCCCAGCTCTAACTTTGTGATCTCATGATCCAGTATGCTTCTCCTAGAGTGAGCAAGTGTGTACATGTGAGAATGTAGGTGTGGTTATGGCTGCAGATATGCATCTAGGAGAGGATGCATATCAATGAGTGAATGGGAATGAGTGTGAATTTAGGAAGTGCAAGACACTAGTGTGTGCGTCCATCCATATGTAAAGGAGGGTGTGTGTGTGTGTGAGTAAGAATTTGAGAGAGAAGAGATTTCTGTTTATCAGAGAGACAGAAAGAGAGTGAGAAAATGCACAGTGCTTGGCACATGCTTATTGAATAGAATTGAAAAACGGAGGGACAGAGTTGGAGAGATAATCTGAGACAAACATAGACTGAAAGAGGGAGACCAAGATAGTCAGAAAGAGACTTGAAACAAGAGACAGAGATGAAGAAAGGATTGAAGATGAAGAGGCAGACAGAAACTGAGGCAGACACGGGGAGAGGGACAGATAGACAGACAGACAGACAGAATAAATTTACTTAGGGGAAAGTTCCAGGTAGCCTTCCTTCACACTCTCCCCATTACTTTCTCAATCAGGGGAGAGTTCTCTCAATGCGGCTCATGAATACTCTACCTGGGTGCCTTCTCCCTAAGCCTGGCCTTAGGTTTTGGGGTAGGGGCTGGGCAGAAATGTACAAAGCCAGCCAGGAAGACCAGTTCTAATACCCTTGGTTCCTGGCTGTGCTCCTGGGATTCACCAGAGCTGCCTTCATGCCCTCTCTGGGGAGCAAAGCTGGGTCCATAGCTATACACAAGAGGCTCTCAGCAAGGCTCATGTCCCCATAACTCCTGACTGTCCTCCATCCCTCAACCCTGTACAGGTTAGCACGGGCCTGAGGAAAAACAAAGGAGATTATGAAGTCCAAAGATGAACAACCATCACCTCTTACCTCTCCCATCTAGACCTGATGAAAATTAATAATGGACTGTGATAAAAATGCAGCAGAGTGAACCCAAACACCTTGGCCCCTGGCCCTGGCCACAATCCTGGTGTGGGCTGGGCTTGGGCTGGAATAAACACTGGGCCTCGCTCATTCTGGATTGGCCAGAACACCAACTCTGCCTGTTTCTTACCATTTGCCCCGGTGTGGGTGACTCCTCAAGTGAGTCTACAGGAACTGAGGAGAGAGAAGACCCTCCCCTAGGGCCTAGGGTCCCTTGCACCTCCTCAGGGGTCATCACTCCTCTCTGGCAGTCTTCGAGGCTCTCATCTGCCCCGTCCCCAAAGGCGAGGAAGCCGAGCTTGGAGGATGGATGAAGGAAAAGCCCAGCATCCACACTGGTCCTGAACACAATGGGTAGGGCTAATTGACCAGATACGCACTATTTTCTCACCCCTAAAAGACAAATTGGCTAACAATTATGCACCACTGGAGTAACCTGAGTTTAGGAAACCAGAGGACATTGGATACATTGGTGCCAAGACCCTTCCAATCTGTGATTCCTCCAACCCTTGGCTTCATATCAACCCACAACAACCCTGATCTCCCTTTGCCACTGTGACCTGCCTCTGGGACATGAGCATCCACCTATCCCTGTCTTCTAAGGGCTCTGCCTTGCCCACCAGCTTCACATCACCCTTGCTCAAACACATCCCTCTATTCCTTGGCAGCCTCCCATCTGGCCCCTTCTATTCATCCTTCCATTAAGATTCCCCAGCTGCTTTCTGTCTACTGTGGCTACCTCCTCAGGCTCCCACTGGGACCTCCAAACCAACTTCCCACCACCCTCTTGTTGTGACCTGTCCACCAGGCCTTCATGGCTTTAACTCCCTATGACCTTTCCCTCCCATGACTGGCCCCTTCCTCTGACCTTCCCCCAAGCCTCCCATTACCCTTCACCTGGCGCTGCCTCACACCCTGATCTCCCACCTTCAACAAGGCTCCCCTTTCCACTAGTTCTAGCTTTCTCCCTTACAAGCCTGTGTCACCTTGGACAAGCTGCTTTCCTTCTCTGGGCCAGTAAAATGAGACTTGGGCTATACAGCCCAAGGAAGGAAGATACCCCCAGCCCTGACGCTGAGCCTGTGGGGAGATTCCTCCTCACCACCTCCCTTCCTTGAATTCTCTTCCCCATCTGAGTTACCCGCCACCTCAGGGCAGCATCATGGGCTCCCCAAGACCTCAGCTCTGAGCAGGAGTAGGTAGGGTCAGGGTCAAGGTCAAGTCAGATGGAGAGCAGCAACATGCTGTCTCAGTCTCGGACTGACATGGAGGCAATTGGTCCCCTGAGATTCCCTAGTTTCACAGGTTGAGAGCTGGCTCCAGACCAGGCACAGCTGCACCAGAGCCTGCCTTCCAGTGCCCAGCATCCTCTGACTCCTATCTCCACTGACCTATCACCATCCTACCCACACAGCCAGGAGACAGGCCACCTTCCAGTAGAAAGGTTGGGGCTAACCCATCAAGATTGTCACATCTCCAGGGAGTGCATTGAGTTCCTTTGTCAAAAAAAACAAACAACCTTTTATTTAACAAACATTTGACTTTCTCTCCTTCCCACTAATGCCCCCATCCGCCACTGAAAATCAAAACCAAAAAAACCCTTGTAACAAACATGCAGAATCAAGCAAAACAAATCTCTACACTGACCAAATGCCTCAATGTGCACCTTGAGCCTGTCACCTCTCTGAGGAGATGGATAGTACTCTTCATCCCTGGTACTCTGGGTGGTGACTGCCCTGAGCAGAGTTCTTAATGTCTTTCTAAGCTCTTAATCTTTACAGTGTTGTATAAAATATAAATACTTCTGGTTCTGTTCACTTCATCTTGGATCTGTTCATATAAATCTTCCCAGGTTTCTCTGACCCATTCGTCATTTCTTTCAGGGCAGTCATAGTCCATGACATTTATTGGGCTAGAATTTGTTTGGACATTACTTCCACTCAGCCAGAAGGGCAATTGTGCCACCCCCAATAACCCAGGGTACACCTGGCATGCCAGCAAGTTGCCTGGCTGCTATCCTTCTGTGGATAGGGGGTGCCTCAGGACAAGGTTTGCTATTCTCCATCCACACAGTCCTCCAGTGAATTTAGGTACCAGAATTCCTGGTTTTAGGGGCGTTCAATAAAAGAAAAACAGCTCAGTGGTCAAGTTGAAAGAGGTAAAATCAGCTAGCAATTAGCATTGAAATACAAATGACATGGTGCGTGGATTGACATTTTGGTGGGAATCTCAGCACAGATTTCATGTCTATTCTGTGTGTTCCAGATTTGCAAACTCCAATTTGACTTCATAGGAATCCCTTCCGGGCCATAATTTCCTACAGATTTTGTCCTACATATCAGAATTCCTGCTTACGACTCTGCTCATGTACATAAATACACACACACACACACACACACACACACACACACACACACACACAGAGGGAGACACCATTAAGAAAACCACAGGTTCTCCAACACATATGGTTAATACACTTCCAGGGCTGTGAGGATAGGCACCTGTAGAGTCTTAGCATTTGGTGCCTTTATAGCAATTTCTTTTTTAAAAATAATATTTTATTTTTTCCTAATTACATGTAAAGACAATTTTAACATTCTTTTTTTAAACAAAAATTTGAGTTCCAAATTTTCTTCCTCCCTTCTCCCAGAGACAGTATGCAATTTTATATAGGTTATACATGTGCAATCATGCAAAATATATTTCCGTATTAGTCCTGTTGTGAAAGAAGACAGAGACCAAAAAAAACAAAACCCACAAAAAAATGAAGTGAAAATTGTATGCTTTGATCTGCATTCAGGCTCCATCAGTTCTTTCTGTGGATGTGGATAGCATTCTTCATCATGCATTGCTTTATAAAAATTTCTGGGACCACTCAGTGCCTATGAGCTTTTATAGTTTATAACAATAATGATAATAATAGCAATAACAATATTTACATAGTGCTTTGAGGTTTACAAAACTACTTATTTAATTCTCATAACAACTCCATAATGTGGGTGCCATTAAAGACATTTTACAGATGAGGAAACTGAGGCCTCGGAAAGAAGTTAGGTAACTAACCGAGCAAGTGAGTACGTGAGGCAGGATTTGAATTCAGGTCTCTCTGATTTCAAGCCCAGCATGCTTATCCACTGTAGCACCCAGGGGCCACGGGTCTACAGATAGGAATCCTTGACATGGTTCTCTTCTCTGGAAAATCCTGACTGAGTGCGAGCATAGAATACTAGGAATTGGAAGGGACCTTAGGAAGGGACTATTAACCCCCTCAGAGGAAAAAATTGAGGCCCTAAGACAGGAAGGGAGCTGCTCTCAAGATCACAGGGCTAGTTAAGTGTCAGAAATAGAATACGAAGCCAAGTCCTCTGCCTCCAAATCCCATGTTCACATGGTGTTATAAAACTGGAAGTACCTCAGAAGGCCTACAGTCCAACTCTTAGGCAAGGCAGAGACCTGGGGAGGGAGGATGCTCCAGCTGGCTCACTTATTCTTTTTTTTTTGTTTTTTGTGAGGCTGTTGGGGTTAAGTGACTTACCCAGAGTCACACAGCTAGGAAGTATTATGCGTCTGAGACCCCATTTGAACTCAGGTCCTCCTGACTCCAGGGCCGGTGCTCTATCCACTGCGCCACCTAGTTCCCGCACTTATTCATTCAACAACCACTTGTTAAACACTCACTGCACGCACAGTTCTCTGTTCGATATGGTTGGGGGCAAAGAGAAGACAACATTGATTGGGGCTCTTAACCTTCTTGTGTTATGGATTCCTCTGGCAGTCTAGTGAAGCCTGTGGACCCCATCCCATAATAACGTTTTTAAATGCATAAAATAAAACACACAGGATTGCAAAGGATTACTGAAAAAGTAAAGGATTACATAGGATTACCAGAAAAAAAGTCTTTTCCCTATTCAAGTTGATGGACCTGCCCCCGAAATTGATTCATGGGCCAATGGACCCCTTAACTCCAATGGACCCGGTTAAGAATCTCCGGGTAAGACATGACTCCAATTCTCATGGGCCATGGTCTAATCGATGGAATGAGACAGAGAGAGGTATTTCTATAGCTAAATAGCTGTTCTTAGTTACAGATTCCTGCAAGTCAGAGAAAGGAGGGAAGGAATAAGTTACATGTCATCTCCTGTCCCAGGCCCTCTCCTAGGAAGCTGGGCACAGAGATAATGGAACTAAGGTGGACAGAGGCTTCTTCTCATAGGATGTACTTACAGGAGAGCATCTCTAAGCACCCATAAAGCTGCCAAACACCTAGTCAGGAGAGACGAGAAGCTGGAGTTATAGCAGGAGCATAAGAAGCGTGGGATTCAGAGTCAGAGAAAATGGGTTCAAATCTTGACTCTGTTTCAACCTGACTGACCTCGGACAATTTACTTACTCCAGTCCTCAGTTTCTTCTTCTATCAAATGAAGGAGTTGCACTAGATGACCCATCAAGTCCCTCCCGGCTCTAAACCTATGAAACCTCAGGAGACCGTTTCCTACCTGAGCTAGGAAGAAAGGATGAAACCTCTCACTAGCTGACTTGGCACTGACCCTGACTCGCCCTTCTGCTTGTGGGGATGGATGTGGGGCTCTCATTCCCAGACTCTCAGGGTGGGAAGGATGCCCAGGGTTGTCTAGATGGACCTCCTTCCAAGTGCAGGAATCACCTCTGCTGAAAGATTTCCTTTCTCTTCAGCTCTGCCTTAGAATGTGCTGAGTGTAGTCTAAGCCTGTCTTTGCTCTCTCAGAAGTCACCTTACACTTGGAAGAGCACGGTTGCACATACTCAGAAGGAAGAGCAAGATCTCCCTGCTTCCTCCCTTCCTAGAACCAGCAGTAAAAATAATGGTAACCACAGTGGACATTTTGTTAATCCCTTTATCCATTCATTTGGTAAATATTGATTAGGTGCCACTGTGAGCAGGGTCCTGTCACCTGTACTTGGTGAGGTACAAAGTCTACAATCTGTCCCTATACTTTAGTACGGAAACAAGACACATATAGAGACTAGAGGGGCTGGAAAGGACCTCAGAGGCATCTTACATTTTACAAATGAGGAGAGAGAGGCCCACAGATCTATCCAAAGTCCCACAGGTTGACAGTAATGGAAGAACCAGAATCTGAACTTGGGTCCTCTGACTAGAAACCCAGAAGTCTTTTTACTTTACTACATTCCTCCAACACTTTCTGGCTACGCTAACAATACCTGAAACTCAGCACATCCAAAACTGAACTCACTGTCTTTCCCTTTAAATCATTTCCCACTCCTACTTTCCCTACTACTACCACAATCTACAAGTCAGCCTAGACTCCTCACAATCTCTCATTCCCTATATTCAGTTCCTTGCCAAAGAATGACAATTTCACCTTTACAATATCTCTCCCACTCCTCTTCTCTCCTGTGACACTGCCACCACCCTGGTGAAAGCCCACATCACCTCACACCTGCATTATTCCAATAGCCTGCAGGTAAGTCTGGAGCCTCTCAAGTGTGCTCAAATCTCTCTTCACTCCAATCTATCCTCCATTCAGCCATTAAAATGATTTTCCTACAACAAAGGTCCAACCTTGTCACCCCCCCTACTCAAAAAAACTCCAGTGGCTCCCAGTTGCCAGCAGGATCAAATAGCAAATGCTCTGCTTGACATTCAAAGCCCTTCATTACCTAGCACCCTCCCACCTTGCTGGTATTCTTCCCCGTTATTTCTCAAGTCATATTCTTCAACCTAGTGATACCATTTTCCTGGCTGGTCCACCCACCAGACCCTCCACCTCCCAATTACAGGCATTTTCTCTGGCTGTGCCCATCCCAGCAAAGGATGTCCTTCCTCCACTCCACCTTACTGGCCTCCCTGGCTTCCTTTTAAGTGCCAACCAAAATCTCATCTTTTACAGGAAGCCTTTCCCAATCTCTTAACTTTAGTGCCTTCCCTCTGTTAATTATGTCCCGATTATCCTGCACAGAGCTTCTTAGTACATATTTGTTTGCTTGTTGTCTCCATTAGGTTGTAAGCTCCTGGAGGGCAGGGGCTGTCTTTTGCCTCTGTATCCCCAGAGCTTAGCACAATGACTAGCATGTGGTAGGAGCTTAACAAATGTTTGGTGACTGGCATATTTCCGGCCAGGCAGTGGGGTAAGTGGTAGGGATACAAAGAAAAGAAAGACAGTCCCTGTCTCAGGGAGCTTACAATCTAATGGGGAACATATCACACTAACAACTACTTACAAACAAGCTATCAGGCAATGGGGAGCCCGAAGCCTTGGACAGAAAAGATTTTCAAGTGTTTGAGGAGGCTGCTTCCTTACAAACAGACATTTGCCTGTCGCAATTGTTCATTACAACTGAGCTCAGATCTTGCAGAAGTTACAGTCCAGATGCAGCATTAAATTTCATGCCTTTCAGTAAAGAATTGGCTTTTCAGCTGGGGCGTAGCTTATTTCCTCTCCTCCTCCCCTGGGGCAGAGGCATATCTAAACACACAGAGGAAAAAAGAAACTGCCACAGCCGCCTCGTTGGCCCTTTTTGGCTCTTCACAGCCGCCGTAGCAGGGCGTATTCAAAAGTGACCATTTCGCCTATTTGAAGAGTGGAGGCCTCAGCTCCTAGCTCACGCCATCATGAAGCCCCCTGTAAGGCGGCGCGCGGCTCCGGCGCGGTACCGAAGGTTGGCCCCGGCCGGGGTCCGCAGGGCCACGCTCTGGACCCCAGAAGACAAGCAGCAACTCCTCCGTTTACTGCAGGCACGAGACGGGGAGCAGGAACCCGAGGCTGTGGAGCCGAGGCAGGGGCTGCGCCTGCTGAGCGAGGCTGAGGTTCGGGGGCGGGGCCGAGGGTAAGGGGGCGGAGCATGGCCCGCCAGAACGAGGAGAGGCAGTGAGAGACTGCTGTGGGGGCGGGGCTGGAGGCAAAGGAGAAGTGGGGGATGGGAGCTTAGGAAGGCTGAAGGAGGGGGCAGAGCAAAGACCAGAGCTCAAGCAAGTCACTGCTTTCACTCTGCCATCTTGGCTCCGCCCCCTCCTGGGGCTTTCTAATGGAGGGGATGAGATAAGGTTTCCATGATGGAGAGAGTGCCTATGGAAGCCTGGGCCTCCCCTAGTCCTGGGGTTAGAGTAAGAGCTGTTAATGGGCTCTGCTCCAGGGACTTCATCTGTAATAAGAGACAATAAAGATTCCGTGTCGCTCTCCTATAAAATTTGAGTGATCACTAGACTTTGAGTCTCAGATAGCTCAGCCCAGGTCATAGCAGCCAGACTTGTACCTGATCCGACATGGACAGGAGTCACTGTGGCGACCATAGGCCACCTGGATGGAAGAGCTTTCCTCTCTGGGAGTCTGAACCTCAGAACTTACTCAAATCTCTCCTAAACTAGAACTAGGAGAAACTGAAGGTCTCACTCCAGTTTTGCTGCTGAATCTTGGAAGAACTGCAGAGATGTCTCTAGTCATCTTGACTGTTAAACCAATGCTGGCCTCTATGACTAAGGTGGTTAGGGAGAGCTCTGAGGTTTTCTCTAGGCCTACATGTGGAATACTTAGCCATTTTCTCTAGGAGAATCAAGCCAGCAGAGGTGACCGATGAGCCTCTAGGAGTGCTGTCTGACAACACTGGATCTTTAGGAGAGGGAGTGGTCAGAAGTGGTCAGTGTGGCATCTGTGCCACTCTCTGCCACCGTACTTGGGAGCTCAGGGCTAAGAGTGACCTATTTAGTGCCGAGGGTCAGACTTGTGGTCATAGACAGAAGGACAGCTGAGCTCGTCCTCAGCCTTAAAGGTGACCCCAGATGAAGTTATTCGAGTTGAAGGAGACACTGTCCTTGACCATGTAGGGAGTGGTATCTGCCCCACTGATGGTGAGAGCTGTGGCTTTGGCTAAGATTGAGGACCAGGGAACGTCCCATTCTTGTTCTAGGCAAAGCCCGAGAGATCCTGGTGATGGAGACAACAGGTGCTAGTGTGGTTAATACCAAGAACAAGTCTGTTCCAGGCCTAGTCTCTGTAGTACCTGGGGTGTGGGAAGGAGTGGTGTAGGCAGCTGGCTCTGAGCTAGACTCTCCCACAGGACTTGACACAAGGTTAGCTGTGTTCTCAGCAGGACGAAACTTCCCTGGGCTGAGTGTACTTGTATGTGATGCTGTAGGGCTACCTGGTCTGCTGGTCTCCTGCACTGGGGGGCTGCTGGAGGCCAAACTGCTCTGTAATTGTTCACGGTGCTTGGTTCTAAATTCAGTCATTGGTGTGACAGAGGGAGTGCCCCCCTTGGGAGGTGTAGACTCTGTGGGCCCTGGGGTAGGAGGTAGAGCTGGGCTTGTCTGAGCTCCAGTTATGCCAATGCTTGTCATGCTCACCAAAGAGGTCGAGGGGACAGTCCTGGAGTAGCTGGTTCCTTCAGTTAGGCTGGCAGAGAAGACGGGGAAGCCCTGTCAGGCCAGAGAGTTACTCCTGTGCTTGGGGAGTACTTGTGTTCTCTGTAAGTGCTTGCAGAGGCGTCTGTGTTCTCTGGGAAGGTGCTGGAAACAGTTTGACCTTCTGGTCCTTCTGTAGACACCAACAAAGTGCTTGTGTCTCCTCCAGCAGATGTTGGGATGATGCTGGGAACGGCAGTGGAGGACAGGTTAGCTGAGCCTGGCTCCATTCCTGTCTGAGCATCCTGCTTCTCTGGTGTGGTCTCTCTCAAAGGCAGCTCTGGGCTCGGCCTGGTTTCTGTAGCACTGATGGCTGTAGGAGTTGAGGACAGGGGCAAAATGGAGCTGATTCCCATTTCTGAAGCTGAGACAGCAGTATGAAAAGAAGCAATTGGAGTGGGCCATGGAGTCAGGGTGGTGCTGGGACTCTCCCTAAGGGATGTTTCTGATACAGGTGTGTCTGCAGGAAATGTAGAAGAAATTGTCCCAGCTGGGCTGATCTTTAAGGGACCACTGGAGCCTGTGCTGGCTGTGGGCTCTGCTGGAGTCATGGAGAATGTGGGGCTTGCCATGCCCATGGTGACTCCAGAAGACGTTTCAGGTGGAGTTGAGGCTTCTGTGGGAGAGAACATGGTTCTCCTGTGTGTCTGAGGCCTAAGTCCACTTGTTACAGTGAGGAGGGGGGCCTGAGTGGTTGTCGTACCTCGCAGAGTCTCCAGAGTCTCTGTTGCAGTGTCTAAAATGGAATCTCTCGCAGTAGAGCCAGTCATGGGCATGCTGGTGGGCTCTGTTGAATCTCTTTCCAGGGAAGAAAAATTTTAAACTCAAAAGCATATGAGAGTGATTATTAGTAAATCAAAATAAATTAATAAAATTTTTAAAAAAAAAGAAATATACAAAATCCCCCAGTAGCTCTTCATCCAAAAGCTGTTATCACAACATACTTCAAGGCAGAAATTAATGTGGCAGATGAAGCTGCCAGGTCTTGCGATCTAATTGCAAATTACCCCATCAGTGTCCTGTTCTCATACTGTGAAGATGAGTCCATATCTTGTCTCAGAGCTGGGAGACAAGGACCCAGGATGGGTGAATCCCAGCCCAGGAGAAAGAGAAGAGGCATTTACTTACCCATAGGACTGACAGTGGAGTCAGGTGTCAGGGGCCCACTAGTCAGTACTGCCATGCCTCCTGGTGCTCCATGGTCTGGGCCATGTGTGACAGGCACTACACCAACCTCACTCCCTGTAGGAACAAATGAGTGCACATGTCACAGCCTGGGAGGGCAGAAAGGATGATATATTACCTCCACATGGTCTGACTGTAAACTTCCAAAATGTGGCTTTCTTTATTTCCTCCTCTGTTATCCCACTCTCACTTATCTTAAATCTCTGCTTGTCTCCTGGCTGCTTCCCTACTACCCCATCTGCAAAAAACAAAAACAAAAAACCCTTCACTTTTTCCCTCTGTCCCTGATTATTCCTTCTCTCTCCTCCCTTTTGTGGTCAGAGTCCTTAAGATAGCTTATCCACAAAAAGTGTTTCCATTTCCCTTCCTCTCACTCTCTCTTTAACTCTACAGTCTTGTTTTCAACCTCATCATGAAACTGAAATTGTCCCCTCTAATGTTACTAACTGTTAGGGATCTATAAGGATGGAGAGGGCCACAGGCTGTTCAAGAGGTCTCACTGATGGGTGAAGGCCCCTCTCGGGTGCTGATCTTTGAGCAAAGGTCGCCTGGTTCAGTGCTCCATTGTGTGGATCTGTAACAATCTTTAACTCCCCTAGTTATTGTATGGTCATTAGCAGTCTATTCTGGGATTGGAGTCAGATAAGTGCACGCATGCACTGTCCTCAGCACAGCATGGGTTATACGTCATTGTAACTTGACAAACAGTTCCTGTTATTTTACTATATACCTAAGTGCTTTGCTAAAAATAAACGGAGTTGCTTCCACCTTGTCTCCCGCCTCCTCAGTGCGCATTCGAGAGAGAAGGTTAAGCTGGCCTCATCCCTTCAAAGTTAGTATAGGATCCTGGCTCTAGTGGAGAGCTGACTGAGTTGTGTACAACAACTAACAATCTCTGAATTGCCAAAATGAACAGCCTTTTCTCAATCCTCATTCTTCTTAATCTCCCAGCAGCCTTTGATTCCATTACCCTACTCTCATGGTTCTCCTCCTAAACATCTGATTCCTGTCTCTGTCTCTTTTGCTGGATCCTCACCTAAGCCACAAATGCTATTTGTGGTGCCCTACAGTAGAGCTCTGAGTTGGGCTCTCTTCTCTTTCTTCTCTATGAGTTTTAACTCAGTGGTCTCATAAGCTCCCGTGAATTCAATTCTCATCTCCATATTGATGATTCTCAAATCTACTTATACACCCTTAAGCTCTCTGGTGATCTCCAATCTCACAACTCCTATTGGACAGTTGCCTATAGGAAATCTTGAACCGTCTGTCTTGTAAACATCTTAAACTCAGCATGTCCAAAACTTAACTCATTGTCTTTCCCAAAAAACCATCTCTTCTTAATTTCCCTAGGGCTGTTCAGGGTATCACCACCTTCCCAATCACCCTGGCTTACAACTCAGGAGGTCATTCTTAACTACTCACCCTCTCCCCCACAATATCCAATCTGTTGACAAGGTCTATAGATTTTACTTTGATAATATCTCTCCTATATGCTCTCATCATCTCATGCCTGGACTATTGCAGTAGCCTTCTGGTTGGTTTTCCTGTCATAAGACTCTTCCCACTCCAGTCCATTCTCCACTCAGCCACCAAAGTGATTTTCCTACAGCCCAGGTCTGACCATGTCATTGTCCTATTCAATAAACTCCAATGGCTTCCTATTACCTCAAGCATCAAATATAAAACCCTACCATATACCAAAAACAAAGTCAAAATGGGTATACAGTTTAGATATAAAGGCTGATACTACAGGCAGACTGGGAGAGCAAGAAATACTTTATCTGTCAGATTTATGGAGAATAGAAGGATTTATGACCAAACAAGAGATAGAGAACATTATGAAATGCAAAGTGGATAATTTTGATTACATTAAATTGAATTGGAACATTAAATTGCACAAACAAAACCAATGCAACCAAGATTAGGAAGGAAGCAGAAAACTGTAAAGAATTTTTACAACCAGTGTCTCTGATAATGGCCTCATTTCTAAAATACATAGAGAATTCAGTCAAATTTATAAGAATACAAGTCATTCCCCAATTGACATACGGTCAAAGGATGTGAACAAGAAGTTCTCAGATGAAGAAATTAAAACTATCTACAGCCATATGAAAGAAATGCTCTAAATTGCTATTGATTAGAGAAATGCAAATGAAAACAACTCTGAGGGACCACATCACACCTATCAGATTGCTGAACGTGACAAAACAAGAATATGAAAAAGGCTGGAGAAGATGTGGGAAAATTGGTAATGCATCATGGGTGGAGATGTGAACTGATCCAATTTGGAACTATGCCCAAAGGGCTATCAACATGTGTGTATCCTTTGACCTAGCAATAGCACTTCAAGGGCTGTATCGCAAAGAGATCATAAAATTAAGGAAAGGACACACATGTACAAAAATATAGCAGTTTTTTCTGTGGTGGCAAAGAATTGGAAATTGATGGGATGCCCATCAGATGGGGAATGGCTGAACAAGTTGTGGTATATGAACGTAATGGAATACTTTTGTGCTATAAGAAATGATGAGCAGGCAGACTTCACAAAAATCTGGAAAGGCTCGTATGGACTGATGCTGAGTGAAGTGAACAGAACCAGGACAATGTTGTACACAGTAACAGCCACATTGTTTGATGATTAACTTTTGATAGACTTAGCTCTTCTCAGCAATGCAAGGATCTAAGACATCTCCAAAATTCTCATGATGGAAAATGCTAGCCACATTGAAAGAAAGAACTGTGGAGTCTGAATGCATACTATTTGCTCTTTTTTTTCTTCTGTTTTGTTTTCTTTCTTCTTTCATGTGGTTCCTCCTATTGGTTCTATTCTTCTTTACAACATAACTAATGTGAAAATATGCTTAATAGGAATGTATGTGTAGAGCCTATATCAGATGGCATGCCGTCTTCGGGAGGGAGGGGGAGAAAATTTAAAACTCAAAAGCTTATGGAAGTGAATTGAAAACTAAAACTAAATAAAAAAAATATATATATATATACATATATATATAACATATATATATATACATATATACGTGTATATATATATACATATATATATGTATATATATATATATATATATGTGTGTGTATATATATATATATATATATATATATATATATATATATATATATATATACATACCCACACAAAATCCTGTTTGGCATTCAAAACCCTTCATAACCTGACTCTCCTTTTCTTTTCTAATCTTCTTGTACTTTACATTTCCCTTCCCCTCAATGACATTGGCCTTCTTGCGATTCCTTGTACTTGTCTCACTACCTACCAACTCAGAACATTTTCACTGGCTGTCTCCCATCCCTAGATATCTTTCTCTCCTTGTTTTTCTGACTTCCTTCAAGTCCTTGCTAAGACCCGAACTTCCTATAGAAGGATCCCTTCCTGTCTATAGGAGGGTGGGATCTTAATAGGATGACCTCCTTAATTTTTAAGTGATCCCCCTTAATTCTAGTGTTCTCCCTTTGTTGATTATCTACAACTTATCTTGTATTTAGTTCAATCCTCCCACAGTGCTGGCTGTGAAGCCAGCTGTCAGCTCATCAAGAGAGACATTCCTGATACGATTTTGCTGGGCTCTGAAAGAGCTGCACTGGCTAGTGACTTCTCACACTAAGGTGCTGGTGGAGAAGGCAAAACCAATGTTGAGCTGTGCACTGTCCCTGGTGCTGAGTTCAGCCACTGGTAGAAAAGAGACACTACCCCACTCAGGAGGTGTGGGCTCTGTGGGTTTAGTTACAAAAGGTACAGGTGGGCTTCTCTGAGCTCCAGTCGTACTTCCCTACAGAGGGTGAAGGGACAGTCCTGGAGTAGCTGGTCCCTTCACTTAGGCTGGGCAGAGAAGAGGTGGAGGTCTTATCAGGCCAAAACAGTTACTCCTGGGCCTATGGACTGCATGTGCTCTCTGAGTGATTCTGGGGATATCTTATGGTCTCCAGGAAGGGGATGAACACTATTTTACCCTCCCTTGACCTTTCTGCAGACACCAACAAAATGCTTGTGTCTCTTCCGGCAGATGTTGGGATGATGCTAGGGGCAGCAGTGGAGGGCAGGGCAGCTGACCCTGGCTCCCTTACTGTTTAAGGCAGGCATCCTGCTGCCCTGAGGTGATTCACCTCATAGGCAAACCTGGGCTTGGCCCAATTTCTGCAGCATTGATGGCTGTAGGAGTTGAGGATAGAGACCAAATGGGGCTGACTTCAATTCCAGTAATTCAGACCGTGGTATGGGAAGAATCAACTGGAGTGTACTCTGGAGTAAAGGAGGTGCTGAGACTCTCTCTAAGGGATATTTCTGATAATACAGGTGTGTCTGCAGGGAATGTAGAAGAAATTGTCCCAGCTGGGTTGATCTTTAAGGGACCACTGGAGCTTGTACTGGCTGTAGGCTCTACTGGAGTCACAGAAAGTGCAAGGCTTACAGTGCCCATGGTAACTCCAAGAGATGCTTTAGGTGGAGTTGAGGCTTCTGTAGGAGAGTACATGGTTCTCCTGTGTGTATAAGGCCTAAGTCCACTTGTTACAGTAGGCACAGTGAGAAGGTAGGGCTTGAATGGTTACGAACTTCGAGTGGTCTCCATGATGACTATCTCTGTTGCAGTGTCTGAAATGGAATCTCTCACAGTAGACCCAGTCATGGGCATGCTGGTGGACTCTGCTGAGTCTCTTTCCAGGTCAGATCCACTCACATTATCCAGTGTCACCACGTTGCTGGTGGAGAATCCTGTGACCATAGCAGTTGAATAAAGTGTGCCTAAGAGTTGATGAGGGAAGTGTGGCGTCATTTGGAAAGATTCCTATTGCCTCTTAGTAGGGCTCCTTCTGTATTGAAGAATATTTTCTGTGGTGGCAAAGAATTGGAAATTGAGGGGATGCCCATCAAATGTGGAATGGCTGAACAAGGCATGGTATATGAATGTAATAGTGCTATAAGAAATGATGAGCAGTCTGACTTCAGAAAAACCTGGAAAGACTGTATGTTCTGATGCTGAATGAAGTGAGCAGAACCAGGAGAACATTGCACACAGTAACAGCCACGT